GGGGAGCTGCTGGAGCTCAGAGCCCAGAGCCCAGCACAGACTGGGGGAGCTGCTGGAGCTCAGAGCCCAGAGCCCAGCACAGACTGGGAGAGCTGCAGGAGCCCAGAGCCCAGAGCCCAGCACAGACTGGCAGAGCTGCAGGAGCTCAGAGCCCAGAGCCCAGCACAGACTGGGGGAGCTGGTGGAGCTCAGAGCTCAGAGCCCAGCACAGGCTGGCAGAGCTGCAGGAGCTCAGAGCCCAGAGCCCAGCACAGACTGGCAGAGCTGCAGGAGCCCAGAGCCCAGCACAGACTGGCAGAGCTGCAGGAGCTCAGAGCCCAGAGCCCAGCACAGACCTGTATGAGCAGGTGAGGCTGCGCTTAGCCAGAGTGGTGCTGGTGTCCTGGGAAAGCATATGCATAGAGGAGTTGAGGATTACTGAACTACTAGGGAACTAGTGGAGCAGGGAACAGTTCATAACTGGCCAGCTCTCCTGGCATCAGGGAAGCCCAGAGCAAATGCCTCTTCAAATTTCATGTACCAATACCTCAGTGCTAGAAACCCAAGGCCACTGCATTAACGTGCAACTAAAAATTAGTAGAAGGAACTGAAACAGAATGGCTGTGGAAGGATGAGGGTTGATGAATCTAAGATGCATCCCTGTGTTCCTGAAGGAAGGTAGGCAGGAGTGAAGAGGTGTTGGTCTAGTTTGGATCTCCAGTCGAAGGTCATGGCAATCCAAGGGAATACTGGTTAACAAAGGAAGCGACTGTCATCTCACTGTGCAGATGTGTAGCACAGGGAAGAGAAGTTAGCCGGGTCTAAATGGGGAGAGAAGCTCCCCAGCTCAGAAAGACTTGAATTCAGAGATTGAGTCATAGATTACATTCATGTTAAAATGCTTAATTCCTAAAAAGGTTGTATGACGATTTGATACTCCTGAGATGTCAGACAGTCCAAAAGGAAAGTTATATTGTAATATACAGTAAGTTACATATTGTAAGAAATGTCTATATTTGAGATACTCGCAAGAAGGTCATTGTTTGCAATTTCTTTTTCTTACACTCAACACAGAAACAAGACAGATCAGAGTTTAAAATGGTTTTGAAGTTGCTTTTTATTTGCACAAGCAAAGCATATAGATTTTACCACTTTGGAGAATAATTGATTAGTTTAAAGTCTCAAATCAACAATAAATTAAACCCAGTATTTGTTAAGAAGTGCTTTCAAAGCGCAGCAGTGTCGTTGCTATCCGGAGCCTAGCGCTGGCGAGCGTGGCTGGGTTGCGCAGCTCAGTGCCTGTAGAAGATCGTCCCTGTGCTGAGAGCCGATCGCCGGTTCCGCTTGCCGGGAAGCTGCACAGCAGAGGCTGGCTGGTCGCAGTTTGTGGTGCGGCAGTCGCATTTCTCCACGTGGATGTAGGTGTAGGGCCTGGTGGTCCCGTCGGGGCAGATCAGCTGGATGGTGCGGTTCTGAGTCTTCACCTCCTGGCAGCAGGTGCACTTGTGATGCATGTTGGCGGCCACAGCAGAGTATCTGCGAGGAAATGACCAGGAGAAACAACGTTGCGCTTAGCCCTCTGTTTCACTCATCGTTACAGGGTAGAGAGGAAAACTGTGACTTTTCTTTTACTGTACATTTGTACATTCATTTACTGTACTACAATGTGCTAGTCCGGAACTCATAAGAGGGCATTTTCGTGTAGGCCACCATAACCAGAAATCCATTCCTGGTACAGAAATAATGTTATGTGGAGCACTCCCCCTGGTGGAGTAGTTGGAAGATCATTACATTTTGCAGCAGGTATTTTGACAAGTCAGGTGAGTGAAATTCTGAGGAACTTGTGACCTATTAGGGGGAAAAAAACCTATACATTCCAAACTAGCAATTAATTCTGCCCGTTGCGATAGAAACTATTTCACAAAACCACCAGCTCAGCAGAATATAGTCACTTCTAAAGGCTCCATGGTTTTAGGCCATGTGCTTTTTCAATGGAAACTGGAAATCCAGGGTCTTGATTGAGCAGGGGAACTTACATGGAGTAGGTGTCACAGGCACCCTGACAGTGCGTCATCTCGATCATTTCCTGGGACTGGCAGCCCTTATCCGTGATGTGAGTCTTCAAAGTGGACACCTTACAGGCCTTCTGTTTCTCCACACCTGCAAAGACAATCCGCAGGGGTAGCCCAGTGCAACAGAGCAAGTGGCTGATGGCATCTCTACTACACTCAGCTGACAGGATTAGTACAAGTCTGTAACTGTTACAGTCATGGCAGACTCAGTGAGTCAACACGACATCACTGTGGCTCGGTAGCATTTATGACCTGAATGAACCTCAGTTTTTGCAATACTTACAGGCCTTACAGCACCCGTCTGGAGCAGTCACAATCGTTCCCTACAGAGAAAATAAAAATGGAAAACTAGAGCAAGAGCTTCCAAAACAGATGCAAAGATCAGCAGGTGACCAAACATCTTCCACACAGTCACTTTTCCAAGATTCATGGGAATTTTGCAATCGCTAAATGCACAATGTGAGATGCTTGTGAATATGTCATCTTTTCACTAAAATGAAATGCTTTTTCATGTTTAAAACATTCCCAGATCTACAATATTTCACTTTAGTCCCAGTTTACCAGTTTCTTTTTTAGGAGAAAATGTTTGTCATTTTATTCCTTGGATGGAAGAAAGAAGATATTAAGAAGATTCTTGCCGCACAGTTTACAGTTGTAGTTGAGATGAGTGTAGAATAGCCCAATATCCACCGTTTTTCAATAAGCGCTCAGTCCAGTACAGGGTCTTGGTGAGGTAGAGCCCAGCCTCGCACACAGTGGGCACAAGCCAAAGCACAGCCTGTCACAGGGTGCACACACTCACATGTGCATACAAGGGACAACTTAGAGACGCCTGTTAACCCAGATCGCACGTGTTTGGACTGTGGGAGGAAGCTGGAGCAGCCAGAGAAAACACACAGTCTGTGATGCCGCAGCACTAACTGGCTTGGTACTGAGCCACCCGTAGCCACAGATCGCAAATGGGAATACTGTAAGTTTAATAGAAGAGCCGGGACACGTCAACTGGACGTTCTTTTAACCCAGAAGGAAGAAGCAGAAGTGGTTGGCAGGCAGTTGCTTTAGTTTCTGTGCACGTACCGGCTGACAGTTGTTCTCGTGGAAGGGAGAGCACTGAGTGGTGGCCTTGGTGGAGACGAAGGTGTTGCTGATCTTCAGACAGCTGTGCACCTCACACTTGTCTCCAGGAGGCGACCATTTGTCTTCAGGCTTGGAAAGAGAAGGAAGCCCTCGGTATTAGTGAAGACCCATGACAGCTGGGAAAGCTGGCATTCCTTCCCAAAGTTTGAAACAGCAGGAGCTGACCTTGAGTACGTGGATGGTGCCGCCCACTTGGATGACACAGTGAGTCTGCACACACTTCCCGCAGCAGTCGCCGGTAGACTCCACATATTTGAATCCCTGAAAAATATAAACATCCATTACATATGTGTGCTGTATGTGTACATCATGTGTACTGTATATACTGCACTGTCAATACAGTATTACAGTGTGGTTTGGCAGCAGCTCGTTGTCTGGCTGAAAGGCCTTACTGGGGGTGATTGGGTCAGTCCAGTCCATCGTCGGAGTACTGTACCTCTGTTGTGGACATTTGTACATCTCATTGTCTCAGGTGGGCTGGGAGTATTGCTTAGGATAACAATAATTCTGATTCCTCACATTTCTCTCCCCTGTTCTCTGGTAAGGAGCAGAAAGGTACATACCTCCAGATTCAGAGACAGCTTTTTCCTGCAAGCCGTCAGATTATTTAATTCTGCCTCTGCCACCGATTCACACTGCGGTTTCTTAGCACTGCTTGTGCTGGGTTTAATTCAAGTTGAGTGTTATTTAACTTTGTTGTTGCTGCTGCTTTTCTGTGTGTAAGTTGGTGTTTCTTCGACGTCTTTGTGTTGGAGCATACATACAAATACTGTATAAGCACAGTATCACAGTATCATTGCACTTGTGCATATGACAAACTGAATTGTGAATATCCATGTATATCAGCATGATGCATCTAGGTCTGTACTGTTATCAGTCTTCCAATTACTGTAAGTATCCTGAGATGGAAGGTGCTGTGCATTTGCTCATGGAAATTCCTCACCTCTTCACAGGTCCTGTTACAGGGCAGGGGTACACAGCTGATAATGCCGAGATGGGTTGAGAGATCCATATCCTTGGTGCAGGAGCACAGCTGGCATTTATCCACTGGAACACTGAATCCCGGCTGGGAAGAACATGGGTCACAGGAACACAGGAAGTGAGCTAGAATCTCCATTTAAACTAGAAACAGTACTGTTAAATGCAGCATTTTCACAAAACCCATAGACAGATGGGTTACCCATTAAATTACCTGGTATTCTGTATTGTTGTGCACACAAACGTCCTTTGGATCTGGAAAAAAAAAGAAACATTATTCTCTGTGGAGCCCAAATTGCATATCATCTTGCACTTCAGGGTGTATATAAAAGACTGCCTAAAGCTGTCATCTTTAAACCTTAAAAATTGGTCTTTAAAACCAATTATATCTATGTGAACTATAAATAAAAAAGTCACAGGAATCAAACTGAAAACCAGAGACCCTGGAATAGCAGTTAATTATTTTCAACTTTACCTGTAGTTCCCAAAGCAATTTATTATAGGCACTGGAAGACTGAACAAGTGTTGTTCTGTTCTGCTTTGGGCTTTTAAAAGATTTAAAAGATTAAATGCCTTTACCGCATGTATATTCTGGACAGCATTTCCCATCAGGGATAACGACAGTAGGCTTGAATCCCACTGGGCAGTCCGTCTGAGTGGGTGGGCAGGTGCTGGCATTACATCCTGAAGAGAAACAGCAAGAGGCAATGCAAGACTGTCCGCCACTTCACCAACACAGACAACTGAGGCAGTGATAACGTGTTCCCAAGAATACATGCATTTAGACAAACATCTTGAGCTGAAAATGTGACATAGTCAAAATGTATTTTTAATGTGTGGTTGAAGCAGCCACATGGCGGATGATTGGCAAAGCAGGTTCCTCCTTTCTTCTGTGACAGAGGCCAAGTGATGGTTGAGTGTCGGTGCAGACTACTCTTTTGGTCATGAAATGAACTTACTGCAGACAAGCTCCTTGCAGCAGGGGTCCGTCGAGCTGGTCTCACTGGTGGTGACAAAGCCTGGCCCACTGCAGTCAGGTTTGGGCTTCACTGGACATTCCTTTGGCTCACACCTCACTCCTTTCGTGTTGATGTCACAGATACAGTTCTGGCAGTTGTACTCAAATGTCTCCCCGAACTAGGGCAGAAATAGAAGAATCACAGACAGACCTCGTACTAGAGCCTCCCAGCCTCTTATATCGGCAAGGTCAGGGAAGGCTCATGTTGTCCCCTGGTAGCTAGAGTTCTCTAACTACCAGAACAAAACAACAAGACTGCCTCACCTCCCGAGGTTTGCCCTCTGGGTCCAGGCATCCTGTGGAAACAAGGAGCGAATGTGAGCCAGGTCAGTAGGATACTGTGGAGGTGCAGGTACAGCGGTGTCTTGGCTGGACATTACAGACTGAGGCTGTTACTGTGGGGTGTCTGATGATATAGCTGTACTACTGTGTCATCTTTCCCTAAAAGTTTATCATGGACTTTGAGCAATAATAACCTTTAGAAATGCTTAGGCATTATTTGCAGACACCGTTTCTACAATACGTACTGTACACATAGTTTGAACTGAATCAAACTGTGCTCAGGCTGGTAGTCTTAATTGCAGTTCTTGTAAGCACCCTTATTCTGTTCTGTTCTGTTCTTTTCTCCCCCAAATGTTAACCAGGGCTGTTATTGAGAACACACCCTTACTAAAACTAATGATTTGCTGTTTGTTTTTTTATCAAATGAAAAATGAAATGCACATACCACACTTCTCCACACAGACGTGAGTGTGCTTGTTGTACAAGATCGAGCCTGCTGGGCAGAAGCAGCCCTCTGTCTCTGCTGGTTGGGGTCCCTGGTTTTGAGATGGGCTGAAAACAAAACCCAGTTAGAAAGTCAAACAGCACCGATTTGTCATAACGTTTCAGTGCAACCCCTCTGGTGAGGAATAGGCCAGAAGCACATATCAAACTTTAAATTCAAGACCAGTTTTTGTTCTTGTTTCCTTCACTGTGCTTCTGTATGATAATAACTTACTTGTCCTGGCAAGTGTGTGGACTGATAGGACCACATGGCTTGTAGACCATATTGGAAGGGCAGGGAAAGGCTGTAAGAGAAGATTTTAGTTTTAGTCAGCTGGGTAAACCAACTGCAGAAAAGAGCTGTGGTTCATGGTGCTGGGGCATGCTCACAGCAGTGCAATACACCTCTTTATCTTTTCACCTTATGAAAAGCTATTCTAAAACCTGATGTTTTAAAATAAAATCTGCACAGACCTGCAGCCCTTCTAAACCACTGTCTTTACCACACCCTGCCTTGTCATATACAGTATGGACAGTATGTGAGATATCCTGTGTATTAATTAAAGTACTGCAGTGGAACTGATTGGCCACATGCTCAGGAGCTCTATCCAGGAGCTCAAAGGAATCAGGATGAGGCACTTACGGCATTTCCCTTTCGTGGCATCTCTCCAGCTCACACAGACGCCCAGCTGTGCACACATGGAGGCGTAGGCCTGCAGGCTGGAGCACTCAATGGAGGGGTCAATCACATTGCAGCTGTCAAACACGCAGCCCTGGTAGAAAGGCTCTGGAGGGACCAGTTTGTGGCACGCTGCAAACACCCTGCGGATACCAACAGGAGGGCAGTCCATCACTGGGCAGCAGTGGCAGGGGGAGTTGCATGAAGGAAAGTTGTCAGTCAGTGAGATTATGATGAGTTTTGCCTCAGTCCTGCAGGGTTTATAGGGGTTTTGAATTAGGATGTAAATGATGCTACTTTTTTTCCAGTTAAAACAGGTAAATTAAGAGCAATGGTAAAACCAGAGGAGGCTGCAAATGTTTGGAAAAAGGATTCTGCTGCCCTGTGTCGATGAATAGGTGACTGGTGGACTTTTTTGTTAGCTCACGTGCTCTTGAGGAGGCCACAGACAGAATCTGGTTTGCAGGGTCCAGTAGGCGGTGGGTTTGGTGGGCTGCTAGTGGGCAGGGCAGGTGTGGGGCAGAGGGGCTTGCTCTTCTGTGTCACCCAGTGGTCTCCCATCACAGCACAGTCCTTGACCAGCTGGCCTCCAGGAAGCATGCAGTCATCCGCCTGGTTGTTATTGCAGGTTCCTGAGGAGAGAAAGCAGTATTTTTGCATATCAAAGAGTTAGTTGTGAATTGAGACTGTTTTCACAAGAGGCCAAAATACTTTGAACTCCTATAATGTTTTGATGGTTTTTCCTAAATGAAGTATACAGTATAATGAGATGTAGAAAGCAGCGAATCAATTCTCAACTCAGGTGTGTGCAAATAGCAGTTAGCAATTATAAAAGTTTGCATTTGTAAGTGAGAATTTGTCTAATTCTTAAAACAGGACAGAAAAAGAGCCTCAGACATTGAAGGCTATGAGGCGTTTACGTGACAAGCTTATGAAGACTCCAGTTTTCCGGTTCTAGTTCTACTACAGCTATTCCTTGCACGTACCACATTGTCCCTGTGTGTTATTGCCAAATAAGGTGTAAGGCATCTTGATAGTGAAGGCAATTCCATCGAATGTCACCACAGTATTTATGATTGGAATTTTCAGCACAAGATTATGTTCATTGCCGTCAACTTCCATCATGTCCTTCTTGTAAGGCAGTGTATCATTTTTGCCATCTACCAGCATCTTCACACAGAAACAGACAGGCGGAAAACAAACATTAGTATACATTAGTCACTGCATGACTGCTGTCGAGCCCTGGGCCTTTTTTGGAAAGTTTAAAAACAGTGTCATTTCAGAGGTCTTTGTCAGTTCTATGATCAATCTAAAAAATGTCGGATGACAGGAGTAGTTTTTCAGAAATTTAATACAGATGATCAGTGTATTTGTAAACTTGCAGAGAAGGCAGCGAGATACAGTGTGCTGTTTGCACACTTGGTAGCGGGGGGGCCGGTTGTTGTGTTGTGTTCTGTGCACGATATTCAGGGTGTGTCCATTTTGTTTACCCACTATCAAATGAAATGCTGCTTGAGATTATCTCAAGTGGAAATAAGTGGAAATAATATCCAGGAAGCTACAGTAACATTATGCTAAAGAAATTCAGGTGGGTAGCTGTGTCAGCATGTGTAGGCTGCAAAGGAACAAGTAAAGGTTTATTCCTGCTGAAAAGAGAAGAAAAGAAACAATGTTTCGGCTGTGAAGCCTTCTTTGCTGACGCAGCTCCCTACATGGAACTACTACCATGTGACATTCACTATACTGGGAAACAACAAAATCCGATGAGCGGAATGAGCTTCCCTCCTAACGTTCTTAAAAGTTCTGCTGTGGCAGTTATGTCCTGAGGTGGCTCCTCATGAAATTCTGTATGAAGATGATCAAAGTTAAAGATGTGTAATCAACATGAAAGACCCAAATAGAGAAACTGAGGATGAGTAAAACCAGCGAGGACTGACCTGCAGGCTCACTCTCAATGTGTCGTCTTTATCCTTCAGGGTGATCTTCTTTCCACCAAAAGAGACTGTGATGGCGCGAGGACAGGACACTTCCTCTCGGGGATCGCAGTACACATTATCGATGTAAATCCCAAATTTATTATATATGGGTTTGATCTCTTCCACCAACACATAAGTGCAGTTGCCCTGGAAGCTGTAATAGAGCCCATCGAAGGTGACGTAATGGGGGTCTCCAAAGCCAATACAGTAGCCTGTAAAACAGAAATCCCATCAGTCCATCACTGTGTAGCTAACTCTTATCAGTCTGTATAAAACTTCAAGAATAAATCTAAACAAACTAAAGGGGGCTGTTGCATCATGAATCTTTGCTTATTCCTGGTGAATATACTACATGGGTCTCGTTTTTTCCATTTTCAGTAGAGATTTTGATTTTTTTTATACACCTAGGAAAGCACTCCAGAGGTACAGTAATACTCACATTCACACACATACTGCTTGCAGCACCCAGTGCTATCCAACACCAAGACTGGGGGTCTTCCATTAGCACAGGTGAGGTTCTGAAGAGGTGGGCATTCGTAGGGGATTATCTCAATTGTGTTGTTCTCAATGCATCTAGCAATTGTGCAGTTGCATATCTCGAATGTTTCATTTTGCTGGAAATCAAGAATGAAAACAATATTACAAATGCAAATCGTGACCAACAATTCTTGAAGACTGAACTAATTAATCCACCGTACCACTATGTAATTAAATTTTTTTTTAATCAATGTTAACCTGTGAAATATCTCTCAAGGGCTTTGCCTCAAAGAATCTGTAGTCCTCATCAGGATTAGGTTCAAAATGTTGTATTACAACATGTACTGTACAGTGTCATGATCGCTAACCCCTCCTCTTAAGGGAGCTCCAGCCCTTCCTCGTTCCCTCCCATTGTCTGCACCTGTTCCCTATTCCCGTTCCCCCTTAAAAGCCAGACGTGGACCTCACTCCTGGTTCCTCATTGATTTCCGCATCGTGAGAGCCGGGGGTCCTGCTGCGTCTGGCTCCGTTATGGTTTTACTCTTCTGTTCCTGATTCCCCTCCCTTCGCCGGTCCCGACCCAGTTCGTGTTTTAACTCCCTGGATGGATCCCCTGGCCTTGGACTCTACCCTTTGTCTCGGATTACTCTTTTGGATTTCGCCTTTTGTTCGCCCCGGATTCACTCCCCCTGGACACCAGCACTGCATGGACACGCCCCCTGTCTCCAGACCCTCTCCCACATGACTTTTTCCCTAGTGTATCTTCACTATTCTGGATCGCGTCGTCCGCATAGGGCCCAGAAGGAACTGCTACGTGACATACAGTGTGTAAATACACTTACTTTCTTCTATTTTACAGTACCTGTTCGGTTTAAAGGATACCTTCATTGATAACTTCAATTTACAGCTCTGTTATCTTTCACATTATACCTCTACCATTATTAAACATTGTAAATTTCCTAAGTAACACATTTTAAGAAATTGCTAAAGTTCTATAAAAAGTAGTATATACTCACTTTTTTATTCCATTCCGGGCAGCCTGGATGTGGAGTAGGACGTTTAGTTGTAGTTGTAGTAGTTGTGGTTGTGGTGGTCGTGGATTTGGGGGTTGGAGTTGTGGTTGTGGTGGTTGTGGATTCGGGGGTTGG